ATTTATCGTTTATAAAGTTATTAGGGTATTTAAGCGCGTTTTTAGGCACTGCAGTAAACTAATAATTGATTCGTTCTAGAAATAAATAGTTTATTAATGTAATCAGTAGAGTGAAACAGTCTATACAGATGGCGTTTGAAACTTATAAGCGAGGTGAAAGTTCTGGCTTCTGGGGACAGGCTGTTCCATATGTTGGAGACATGAATGCGAAGAAGTTTTCGCGGAGTGTTGACTTAAGGGCTTTTATTGTCACTGTGCAATTTTGGTTACGCAGATCGTAAGAGCCTTCTTGTGCGAATTGTATGTCCTTAATGTCTGAGAATGATATTTTGTGTAGGACCTTATAGAAGAATACTAGGTTTATAATTAGTCGTCTTGTCCAGAGTGAGTCAAGTTGTGGAATCATGCACCGTGAGAAGTAGTCTTTCGTACAATCGTAGCCAAGTAGTTTGGAGGTAAAACATCGTTGGATACTTTTTATCCTTAGCTTGTCACGTGCTGCTAACAATAAATGGTCAGCATTCTAGTAGTGGCCTTACGCATGTTTTGTATAGAGTGAGCTTAGCTTTATTGTCATGAAAGTTCCTGAGTATGCATCCTAAGGGCATCCTCGACTTTTGAGTCTGTGATGCCACTTGCTCAGGGAATGTTAGGTTACTGGAGTACCTCAGACCTAGGTCAAGGACACTTTGGAGTTTGGTTAGGTTAGCCGATTGAAGCGTTAACTTCATGTCGATTGAGGGTGCACCGAAGCAGATCCAGCCACATTTTTTAAGGTTAAATTGGAGGTTCCATAAAGACGACCAAGCAGTCACTTTATCTAGTTCTTTTTGTACAACATTCTGGAAGTACCCTAGGTCATCAGATTGGAATGTATAAGCTACTTTGAGGTCATCTGCAAAGATGAATGGTTTCCCATGAGAAAAGCAAGCGCATATGTCGTTAATGTATAGAGTAAATAGAAGGGGCCCAATGACACTACCTTGTACTACACCAGAAGCGATTGAGCTTGGTTTGGAAGTCACAGACCCAAGTTCAACTATTTGGGACCTATTGTTAAGGAATGATTTCAGCCATCCTAATAAATAAATAAATTTATTATCACAGTACAGTACATGAGGGACGCCGCGTATTCTTGAGGAGCTTGGCTTGTGTATTGGCAGTAAACCATCGACATATTCAAATGCCTCAGAAATGTCGAAGTAGATGACAAGTACTAGTTGCCATCTGTCACGACTGCTGGTCAAAAAATTGAAGAAGTCTAGGTGGCATTTTAAACAAGATCTGGATTTTAGGAATCCATGTTGGTCGGGACTTTCTATGTTGCAGCTAAGCATATGCTTGAGTAGGTTATCTTTATCCAGTCTCTCCATAATTCTAGATGCGATAGACGTGATACTGATCAGCCTGTAGTTGTTGACATCTGTTTTAAGCCACATCTGTGTTTAGGCATATAAACGTTGTTCTCCATATATCTGGATAAATTTGGATTTCTAAGGACGTTGTGAAGATTTTAAGCAGTAGTGAAAAAATGTCAGGACCACTTCATTTATAAAAACATGATGATATACCATGGTTGTCAAAACCTGTAGATCTTTTGAGAGTTTTAATGGCTTGGTTAATGTTAACATAAGTGAATTCAACTGTACTAATATTTTTGGTGCGGGTAGAGATGGAAGTTGTGCCATATTAGTAGTAGGAGTTATATCGAGTAATGAAACTGCAGGCCTAATGTAGTTAGCCGCAAATTTTTTGTTGAATAATTGACATATGTCTGCAGAATCAGTGCATAGCCTACCTTTGTCTATGAGGAGAGAAATGGTGTGATTTTTGCGGTTCATTCGCTTCTTTAAGATTTCTGTGAGAGCATACACTCTAGCAGGAATGACTATTGTGGTGCGTTCTTCGTTTTTCATACTCGAATCTCGGGCTTGTGAGATGGAGCTTGCAGCGTTAAGCAATCAACCTAGTGTGCCAAAGTCGTGGTGTTTGAAGTAACTTGTCGAGAGTTTCTTCAGTTTCGCACGATCCTTTCGTTTTATCAATAACTTTCTATGTGGGGAAACCTTTTGTCTTTGGAGTGAAATGGCAGCATCTACGCATGTGTTTGAGTTCAGGTTGAAGATGCTTAGAGCTCTCGAGAGGTCATCGGTAATGAAGTACTTGCTCCATTCAGAGGATCTCAGCATCGATTCTACGAAAGCCCAGTTTGCCTTACTATAGATTATTATTAAATATTATTTGTTGTGAAGTGGAGGTATAATCTGCATTGCTACTCGGTGGGAGTAGCAAAAGCACAGATCACTGTTTGGTGGTCACTACCTGAAAACTCAGAACTCACTAAGATTGGGAGGGGGCTTATGTTGTGACAGAATATTAAGTTCAGTACGTTGTCACCCGTTGTAGGGATAGTGACAGTTTGCCCCCATCCGAAAATGTTCAGTGAACTCAAAGTCTTGTCATATTTGGTTGGGCCTGTTAATAAATCCCAGTTGATATCGGATAGGTTGCAGTCTTTACATATGATCTCATGCTCGTATGGAAGAATGGATACCTGTTTCAGTGCATTTATAAGTTGCGTCTCGTAATCACTAAAGGTGCCAGGTGCTCTACAGATACATCGTATCAGTAGTGTAGCACTTTCGAAGTGTGCTTTGACCCATAGGGTGTCATGCATGTCATTGAGTTCCCTGTTTAACTTCTATTTCGACCACAACACTGTAGGGTCTATTCAAGAGAGAATGGCGTGGTCACTTAGAGGTAGTTAGGGATTAAGAAATTCGAAAGATTGAGACGAGTAACTGTGTGGGAACTATATTTTTCATGATTTGTAAGCTTCTTCTATCTATTGTACGACATTGAGTGATGAAAACCCGACCATGCACTTGACTGGGCATTCCTACTTCACTTGACAATTACTGTGCTCTCGAAAATAAATGTTCAAAACTTGCACTTGTCTTCTGCAAAACTAGGTGTTGTCGGCTGTCAACTGGCATAATTATTTCGATAGAATAGTGTGCCACTGAAGTGATATATCTCAGGCTTATCAGCCAGAGCACTGTGGTTATCAACAAATGATTGTAACATTTATTTAAACTGTCCTACTTTGAGATGGTAAGTGTTTTATCAGATCGATGTGCACAAGGTAGAGAGCAACCTTCACCATCCGTCTTGAGGATTGCTTCGGAATGACCTCGTTTCAATTACCAAGTGCAAAGGTAAAGTTTGGCTAATAGTCAACCACGTGCATTCATCAAATCGCGTTTAGTTGGGGCACTGAGTCTTAGGTCCTTCTAAGTTGCTTCGTAGATTCATGGGGCTCATGTCTCCAAAATATTTGTGTAAGTTTAATTCCAGACTATTTTTAAAAGCCTAGAAACAACCATTGTATGTGGCAAATATTAACATTTGCCATAATAGCCGGCTATATGAGGATACAGTGTGCTAAGAAACTCGCAATAGAAGTTCCACCGCAGCCTTTGAAGTGAAGACGGGGCTATGACAACTACATCTTTACTGACGGCGGCGGACTGGGTCATGTAGCAGACTGTAAAGGATGTGAAGGCAGGTGAACGCTGGATTAAAGAAAGGACCCCAGTAAATCTGTACTTTTTAGATGATGTCTAGTGACCAACGTTGGTATCAGATTAGTTACTAAGACAACAGAACGAGAGAGACACATAATTCTATACCGCTTAACAGAGGAAAGAAACCTTACAAATCACTAGGTAGTTCTAGTCCATCATTAGTTACTAATCTCGTCCTTCTGCGCTTTTTAGTTGCCAGCCTTCAGCTGAGTGACCTTCACGTTTAAAGGGTATTTTGTGAAGACTGTGCACATCTATATTCCATTTCGAATAAAGTAGGAGGCACACGAACGGAAAATAAGAAGTTCGTGGGGCAGGCACTGTAGACAGAACTTTAGGTGAACAAGAAGATGAAGGAGTGCTGAAGAAGCCTTTCTAAATCCTAAAAGCATGAATCACCGTCACTGGAAGAAATTTAAGGGGAGATGTCTCCTCTATTTACTGACCTGTGCGGCACCGCATCAACTTACGTATGAGAATGTCAAAGTCAACCAGAATTGGGAAAACAAGACTAAGTTCATTACTCCGGAATCAGTAGAGAAATCTGCACCAGTCATCACAAGTAACATAATGCGGATTTTTAAAACTAATGTAAAATGAGTGCACCCACATTATTTAGAGGTTAAGCATGCACGTAACCTAAGGCACTTCCAGGAGTTGGCAGACTCTTGTCGACAAGTGACTGCCTTTGTTTGATACTAAAGATCAGACGACAGACGAGTAAAAAGGGACTATGTTTATTCAGAGATTCAGCTGAAGACACATGAAGGCGAAAATTTAGATGGATTGAATATATGCTGGAAGAAACTGGAAGTGACAACAAACGAGTTACTGTGGAGTAGGACTAAAATGTTGAGCGACAAGTCGAGCGTTAGAGAATGGGATGGAGATCACGTGAAAGGAAGTAAAAGCTTATGAGCAGTTATTCAACCAGTTAAAAGTGATGAAGAAGAACAAAGGAAATTGCAGATTTCACACTGAATCTCAATTCTTCACTCGGAACGCAAGGAATGAACAACCATAAACATTTCTACAGCCTTTTAGCGTTGAACTGAAAGTTTCAAGTCCAGTCTATTGATGTGTAAATCAACTGTGGTAAGTTATTGTCTAAACATGAAAAAGAAGTAAGTGGTGGCGCATTCAGACCTTTGCTATCCGATGTTGCGATCCTTCATCAGTTGCCACGAGGAATTCCGTAATAACCAAAGGAGGACACACTCGATCAAGTGTTTCTTGCCATTTCTATTCAACGGTTCTCCAATAGAATACCGTGACACTCTGGATTTTGAGTTGAATAAATCAAATATTGTGCTATAAAAAGTATCATAAAAGCATTCATACAGGTTAGCATTGCAAATGAAATATTTAGTAGACGTCCTTGAAGCTCTTAGTTATCTGTTTTAATGCTCCAATGAATAGTGCCATTTGGTTTTGGTGGGGTTGGATTTTTGATGGTAGGGGTTGGTTTTATCTAGTATTTAGTGCGTTACATTTGGATTTTGTGATTGTCGATCAATTTTAACTCACTTCTTTTCATTATTCAGTTGGTTTTTTCGTGATAATGTGTAAATTTGATACTATGATTAGTCTTTATTAATGTTAAGTGGGACTCGCAATTTCGAAATTCTTTAGAATTTTTTAAAGCTCTGATAAGGGAGATAGTGACCTTAAAGAGCCTAAAACTTATGAATAATTCGGGTCGAATTTGTGCTAAGTCTACCTTCGTTTCTGACTACATGGCCTGAAATTTTATCTAGAAATCCTCTTCGATTCCGCTGCAGATATTTCGTGACAGAATCGTAGGATGCATTGAGGAAAATGCGGTATTTGTCTGCAGTGGACTCTAAATCTTACGCACAGTGTCTTGAGTGCACCTTTAGTGTGGCCCAAAGTTTCCGCAATGCTAGCTGGAACAATTTTTCTACATCAATTGTAAATTTATTCGAACCGTGTTTTTGACCACTGCAGTCGTAATGATTAAGTTGTGACACTAAGTGGGCTCTTAGCCTGTGTCATGCTTGTCCTAAATTAGCCGCATTGTAGGTGTTTTGGCAATGTTTCTGCAGTGTTTGCTCCTCTTTTGAACTCATCAGAATCCTGTATTCAATCGTTATTATGGCAGCTTTTGGAATATAACGGAATATACAGTTGAACAGCTAGTGTATATTAGGACATTGAATAATAACTTCACTGTCTTCTAATATTTCGAGCAGAAAGATTTTTAGTATTGAGTCTACTATGATTCCCTCTATTCCAATCAACATGTGCAAAAGCTTTGACATTCTAATAGTGTGTAAACCTAATTTGTGTATTGAATACACCACCACAAAACTGTATTGTTTAGCTCATGCAACTCCGTTGAATGTTATAGCTGCATTTTTTCTCAGATTTTCCCTCTCACCAGGGTGTAATGTAATGCATGCAAGTCTACTGGTTTCAACCATTGCACAACACTGGATTATTTTAGCTAGTGAACTCCACAGGTTGAAGTAAAATTTCTGGCGTCAATTCGGAACTTTTAATGTTACTTATCCGTACTTTACTAAGAATCCCACGTAAGGTTTCAGAGCTTCCCTCGGTGTATGGTTGCACTCGTCTTAAATTCTCTTCTGTCGTTATCTTTCTGTGTAAATTTAGCGTTTACATTGCCTATAGTCTTATGAAACGCTATGTTCCTCCAGGTTAGGCTAACAACTGTGGCGAAGCTTCCATACATGTAACTACTTGTCGTGGTTTTTGGCTGTTTTGTCCCATCACTCAAGCATTTCACTGGTCCCATTTTTACTGACATCGAGTGGGATAAACCAAAATCCAAATATCGATTAAACTTCTACATTTTTTGTAAGTTTTCAATTTCTCATCTTGCTTCTTTACTACTGTAATCTACTGTTGGAAGCCCGCTTCGTGACTTTCAGACTCATAAGTGAGTTAGATTTTAGATAACATTGCCCTTGTGTTCAACCAATGCATTTATATCTATTGTGTTTAATACTGCGAATGTGTCATCCATAAGTGGGAATAGGCGTTCCAATGACTAACTTGTCCCACCTATCCATAAATATCTCGCTGGGGGGATGTTAGTAGTCCCATGACAACTTCAGTTCGGTAGTATATTTTTCTTTGGAACTGAAATATAAGAGCATTCCGGAATAACTGTACTCCTAACATAATGTCTTCTGGTGGTACTTTTGTTCTAAGTTGGAGTTCCTGGTCATAAATGAGTTCCTTTCAGACTGCTTATTCAGTCATGTTTATTGGTATTTGAGTGTGCAAACTAATTTCGAAGTTAATCTTATTTTTCTTCACGTAGTCCTATGTTGCTGAGGCTATGTTTCAGCTCTTAAGACTGAGTAAGTCTAGATTTGTGACTGCTTCTAATTGGACCTATTACCTTGGCTAAATATTTGGACATTTTTTGAGTTGAGGCATTTCTAATATCGACAAGGGGTCTAATGGGATATACTGCTTTGTCAACTTTATAACTTTATAACTTTATATATCCTGCTGAGATTACTATTTTTGGGCAGTAAATTGAACCATCTGGGCTCATATAGAGACTTTCATTTGGCGATTAGAGTTTCCTGTGAATTTCTCAACTTTATTCATAACACCATATCCTAGCCCCATAACTTCTCCAGTGTATAGTACTGCTTAGTAAACAAATCAAGATGGAGTCCTCTTTAGATATTTCTGAATTCGAAGAGGAGCCGAAGTCCAAAGTTTACCAGTGATATGTTGCTGCCTTATCATAATACACTTGTAGCATTGTAGTTAGACATGAGAATAATAGTCTAATGTAATGTGTGTGACCTTACTAAGGTTCCAAGCTTTCCTGGTTTCACTTGATTTCTTTACGTATCTCAAATTAACTGCCAATCACTTAGTGTATTAATGGTGCTTTCGGTGGCTACATGTGTAACACCTCAGGAAGCAATGGTACACGTAGGCCTACAAATACGTGGAACTTTTAATATCGCTTCAGTGAGGCGTTCTGGCGTCTGCTGTTTCGCTATCAAGGTGTGGCAGCGTAGGCTGTGTAACTGGCTTACCAATTCAATCCTGACATAAGAATGCTTGTAATTTTCGACATGTAACCAGTAAAAATGGGTGATAATTTATAGTGCACTCAGACAGTGGTGGGTAATACTTACTACTACTCTGTTAAGCAACTACAGTTGATGAACTCATACGTAACCTACGGTTCTAATTCCTAGAGATGAGTTCACTCTTTAGAATCTTCACTCCTGTCCAGTTAATTTTTCATGGTGTGAACCATGCATCTCTAGCAGTACAGCCAGAATTGTTTTTGCGTTATTGGTGGACGTAAAGAAAAGTCTAAGTCAGAGTTTGATTTCAGGAAGTATGTTTGCACGTAACACGTGATATGATGTTATTTATTCTCTCATTCTTCTTCTTGCAGGATTCAAAGTCGTACTACCTCCAATCACCACAAAATAATTTCCAGTCAGTCAGAATGAGTTCAAAGGTACGAGAATTATCTGTTAGTTTATTTTTTCCAGAGTGATATGCGCGTACCTAAGCCTCCTAAACCACCTGAAAAGCCGTTGATGCCGTATATGCGGTACAGTCGTAAGGTGTGGGAGCAAGTGAAGAATTCGAATCCGCATCTGAAATTGTGGGAGGTGGGTAAAATTATTGGTCAAATGTGGCGTGAACTACCTGATGATGAAAAACTGCTGTACATGGAAGAGTACGATGCTGAGAAAACACAATATACAGAGTTGCTACGTCAGTACCACACTTCACCGGCTTATCAAGCCTGGTTGCTCGCAAAGGAGAGAGGTAACAAGTGTTGATGATGATAGTGTGATAATAATAATCTGCATTGTTGTTCAGCGGAGAAAAGCATGGAGGAACAAGACCAGGAACGAAGACAATCGATTATGAGATCAAGAGATCGTGGTAATGAAGTCCCTCAAGGTGACTTAAGGGAATCCTACATCTTAGAAGATAACGAAGAAGGTACTTTCTGTTTTCAATAATATTATGAGTGCCAACTGAGTTTGTGAACATTCCTGGTAAAGTAATAGTAGTAATAATACCCAGTAATCAGAAATTGAAAAGCATGTACAGTGTGTGGTGTGTACAAGTTAGTTGAATACTTAACCAGTGATGTTAGTGACAGTGTATTTGCGTAATTTTCTCGAGTTGACACACCTTTGAATACATATCGTTGTATAACTCAGTGGTGCCTGATATTCAACGAGCGACTGAACCATTCGTCGAGACCACGTTGATTATGTTGTGTCGTAGATGAGAGTTTTGGATGTGAGAATGTGTACAAGTCTGAGTACTTTCGCCCTGTACACACCACTTTGTTACCATCTGATAGGGACTGTAGTGTTTATGAGTTAATCAAACATTCACCGATCAAGTGAGAATATTGAGGGCCCGCAATAAAAGCTTTATTCGTTTTATAATTCCAGTATAGAATCCGGTTTAAACAAAAATGAAAGATGTGAATAGTGTATAATATAAATGCTAAACGTTTATGAAAATGTTCACACCACAGGGACAAATTGAAGCTCTTTAAAAACCAAACGTTTCTTGATTCTTTTTGTTAGCTGAGTTTGGAGTTGTGGTGTATGAATGCAATAGTTGATTAGCTCCCTCTAGTTTTATTTCCTTAGGAAGTGCTCAGGCCTCAGTTTAATACATTCCACAATACTTAACCATGAGAATGGACGCACCAGTGAGTATTACGTAAGCTACTAAGGGAAATCTGGGTGGTAGAATATATTTTACTTTACTTGATAGTTTGTGGTATTTCGCTTCGAGTTGACGAACTTGAGTTTTTTTGTTTTCTCTGTAGATACTGAAGATCAGTACACTGCGAAACACGTAGCTGCAGCTCGTTTCCAAAGAAATCACCGTTTGATGCTAGAAGTGTTGAGTGATGCTAGACTCCCTGATCCTGGTCAATTGATAACCCAGAGCAGATTGAACACGTTACGTCTCCAAGTGGAACAACTGAGAAATCACAAACGCAACCTATGTCAAGAGATTGACGGGTGTGAAGCACGTCACCAAGCTAAGGTTCAACGTATCCGTGAAGAGTCTGAGCGTTTTCGACTAGAGTACGACAAAATCAAAGCAGGACGGCCAGTTATCACGGAGTCTCAGTTTGCTGATATGATAGTTAAAGCGAAGCAGGATATACAGCGTGAGGAGGAAGATCGGAAGTCTCGTTATTTGGCGGAGTTGGAGATGAGACGTCGACGTCAGCAGCAACGACAGCAGCGAGAGGCTGAATTGCTGGAGTCAGAACGCCGACGTCAGTTACTGCAGCACCACCAACAACAGCAGCAGCAACAGTTGCAGCAAGCTCATATGCGACCAGCACATCCACCTGTCGTTCATGGTGATCCAAATATTCAATTTAGTGACCGTCCTCTGGAAAGGCTGATAGTTCAGGTGTGTATTCATTTGTTGTTTACCCTGTTGTCACAGTTGTATTTTTGGGACGACTGACGCAACTCGATGTGACGTTACTTGCTGTAGCTGGTATCATAAACGCCGTGTCTGCTGATGAGTTGTGTAAATTGTTTTAATCGGAATAGGTTGTAACTGCTGAATTAGTTGTGACAGAGAAGTCATGGTTATGTCACTGATGTCTACTGAGGTGGACTGGATCGGTTTGAGTTGATGATGTTGTTCAAAGTTCAAACCATGCTTCATCAAGTGATCTGTCGGTGGCCTATTAGTTCATTTTGTTGTTATGTGTTGCATGTACATAGGGCGTTCGTCATTATTCCTTTTCATTTCATTTCATTTCTACGTTTTTACTTTTAGTCTATTGCATCTATATGTTTTTGTTTAGTGAAGCATAAGATTAGTCTCAACAACAAGTATGCAACAAGTATGACCAAATAGTTAGATTCCAGATTGTTGAAACAAATTATGTCTTTCGGAATCTTCAGGCAACATAAATCCGTGTGTGGAAACACAACATGGTGTAGGTAGTTCGATGCTTGGTATTGATGCACATGACTTTAGTTGGCTCATCACTCTCCATCTCTACGAATTCTGTTGCTGTTTAGTTAGTTGGGAAATCACTGATGCGTGTTACAATTGTATTATCTGAGATAGGATGCATTGATCTTTGATGATCTTTCCCTTATAGTGGTGATTGCAAACACCGAAATATGTGATAGGGTCATACCGACTGACTTTTGCCTATCACCTCAACAGTGCATTCGATATTTTGTATTAGTATTTTCCAGAAGGAAGTAATTATTCCTTCACTGGTAGGTGTGTGTGGCCCTGTATCACCCAATAATCAATATGTCAAAGCAAAGGTCATTGTGACAAAGAAATGGTATTTTTTAAAACTTATTCCTTCACGTTCCGAGTGGAACATAGGGCTTCAAGCTAGAGGCTTGAAGTTTTTGTATCAGTTGGGATTATTTTTACACGATGGGGTTGCTAGCCTCATGTCCAACCTTCCCTCTTTACCAGTTTTTTATTACTGGCTAAACGAGGTAAAGGAGTGCGTTGGTGTCCGTGGATCGAACCCGAGCCACATGAGGCGTAGTTGGCGAGCACTCTACCACTGTGCCACCGACGCACAAATGAAATGTGTAGGTGTAAAAAAGTGAACAGGTGAATTCCGTCCGTGTTAATGTCAAACTCGAAATAAAGTGACACTAATATTAACATGGGTTATAATTGTAAGGAGGTTTTACGTGCTAGATGACTTTCACAGATATTACCTCTTATGCTTGTCTGTTTTTAATTTAGTGCTGTGATGTTGCGGAATGATAGGTCAAATGTAGATCAGAAGTTCATATAATATATGCTGGTGTGTTTATGAGTCTTATCAGTATTGGGTTTGATTTTTGACATAACTGTTTTTGTTGAATATTTTGTACCAGGATAAAAGGGAAGATGCAAGTTGTCAGCCTACACCACCGAAGTTGCCGGTCACTTCAACAAGTCTAGTAAATCCTGTAAGTGCGAAAGGAGCTGCTGCTGAGCTAGTTCATGCCGGTAGTGGAGCAGTGTACCCTCCTGGAATATGCAACGCTTTCACACAACCTGCCAATCAGAATTCAGTATCCAGGTTTCCTCAGTCTGGTCACACGCAACATCACTACCCACCGCCACCACATTATATACCTAGTGCCGTGCCACCGGGAAATCCCACCAGTTTGGTTCATCAGCGTAGTCCGTTGCCAAGCATGCAACAAGCAACGCCAAACAATGTGGCTAAAGCCAACTCCACAACACCCCTGAACCGTACGAAGAAAGTTGCATCATCTGGATCGTCTACTTCATCTGCTTCTTCAGCTTCTTCGACATCTTCGAAGAAGAAGAAGCCTGATTGTGATGTGAGTAAGGAAGCGACGAGTCAGGAAATGCGAGAACGACCGACTTCTAATTCAGGTGAAAGTGTTGTTGTAGACCCTAACCAGATGAAGTCTAATGATTTGGCGAGTGTGACTCCTGGACATTCGAATGAGTTTCAACAAGGGTTAGCAGGACAGCCGAGGCACGTTGTTGCTTCTCAGTACCAATCAACTAATGTCCCTTCAAACGCTGTCAGCTCAGCCCAGGTGTCTGGTGCTCCAGTACAAGCACCGTACACGTACGAGATTAGCATGTCGAATCCGTCAAACCCACCTCTACCTGGTGGTGCTTATTATCCACATCATCCGCCTGTTACCATGTCTAATCCCAGTGGTTATTCTCATGCACGCGTCCAATTCTCACAACACACTCCTTACAACGCTATGCAGTACCACCATATGCCTCAACAAGGATCTTCGGAGCAGCCACCTCCACCACCGATGTATGTGCAGCATGTGGCACAACAGCCGCATGTCCCACAACAACCTGGACCGCCAGTGGGAGGACCTAACCAACATCCTTCTGGCCACATCCCACCACCACCTCCTCATCAACATAATGCAAACAACTGGCATCCTGCAGGTGCATCACCATACCCTGCACACTATGGTCCTTCTCGTTATCCGGTTCCGAGTGGTGTCGGCGGTGGTGGTGGTCATGTTGGTTATCCTCCGGTGCAACCGCCACGTAATTTTGGCCCGAATTCAGGTGGATATTCTTCAGTGCCTCATTATTTGGTTGGCCAACAGAACCCACAAGCCCATCCTCACCAAAATGTTCCCCCAGCTGTGCCAGTTAGTCTACAAGATGGATCGAGTGGAGGATCCCAGTCAATCCCAGCACCACCACCGTACCAGCAGCAACAGCAACAACAACAACCTCAGCAGCAGGCGAGTTCTGTGGTTGGTTATTGGCCTACACAACATCAAGTACCTCCAGACTATGTTCAGGGTCAACAACCGTCTCACTACGCGGCGGCGCCTGGCTCTCAATCAGAGAGTATGGGAGGTGCAAACCAGCAAGTATTATCATCGGTGGATGGTGTCCATCCATGTTCTGGTATATCTGGACCTCCTGGGGATGCTGGGATGGGTCAAGTGCAAATGGTGCCGTCGAACCAATCTCAGGGAGCCAACATTTATTATCCAGGTAATCCCTTGTCATTTGTTGTGTGTGTGTGTGTGTGTATGACGTCCTTTTGTACGCAGATAGCATTGGGGAGCTATTGTGCTCAACAGTTATTTTTCACTCATTCACGATGATTATTAGTGGAATGATGACATGGTTTGCGAAAGGAGCTGGGTAGTTCAATTTGTAGATCGTTGGGCTGGCAGCCAATGGTCACTGTCTCGACTCTCGCCATGAGCATCAGATTTAGTCGTCACTCACTGCATCAGTGTTAGTCAACTAACGGAAGTCTATTTGAGTTGGTGTCAGTTTATTTTCAATCAGTGAAGCACAATGAAGCACTGACATGAGTAGGATGTATATATGTATTTCACAATATTAAAGCGAATTTAGATCATAATATGCATGAGTAAGATGAGTTTCGTACTGAGTAACGAGAGGGTATAATTGTAAGGCAACAGTGTTATACACTTGTGTACTTCAGCACTGTTTCTGGTTGTATTATTTTGTGTGTAATCACCATGAGATCATTGCTGGTGGTTTGCCCCTTAGTCTGTGAATGAATAATTTTTGTTGATAAATCCTCTTCATAATGTATGTTGGAAGTACTTTACACTTTTGCTTTTATATCTCACATGGGATAGGTTTCGTGTTGATCTTCTCACACTGTTCACCTTTCATAGATATCCATTGTAAATGAAATCGTTTTATTACTATCGCTTAAGGATTGGTTTTTCGCGTTTTTATTATTATTATTATTATGTGATTAGTGTATCGTGGAAATCATGATAATTTGACGGTATATACTGGTGGTTATCTGTGGAGTTTCACTACTTCATCGAGTATGAGTATGTAGTGTAATTCTGCATCAGATGTGGATAGTTAAAGTTTGTTAACTGACAAACTTGCATTGTGTGCAAATGCATATTCAAGAAATGCATTAGATGGAGAAGTGAATGTGGTGTGTTGCATTTTTCATTTTGTTGCATTTCTATTGACGAGGTGTCTGATTTACTTTTAGGTGGACCTGTCCCGCCTTACCCTCATGGTGGGCCGAATGGATTTTACTCAATGCCACCGCAACATCACTACCCGCCTCCTCCTCCTCCTTCACATCAACCTGGTGGAAATCCGTGGTCAGGTTACCCTAATTCTGGTCCACCTCAGATGCCGAGTTACCCACCATCACAACAACCACAACAACAACAACAGCAGCAGCAGCAACAACAACAACAGCCGCAACATCCACACCAATCTCCTCAGTGTAATGTTGGAGCAAGCTATGCTACGCCTCAAATGGCGAATAAGCCTGAACAGTCTGTGGGAGCAGCGAGTGGTACAGAGAATTCAGGTGGTGTATGTGGAACGGGGAATTCCAACAGTCGTCCACCGTCTAACAATAATTAATTTCTTGATCATATATGATTATTGCATTTTAGTTATTTTGAAAGTGGTGCTTTTATTGTGAATTGTCACTAACTCATTGCTTAGTTGAACTCCAATCTATGTTTCCGACTCTTATAATCATCATCACAGTTGGATTCTTTTAATATTTTCTTCTTTTTTTATTACTCATAAGTTGTACTCTTTCACCGATTAATATGTCCGTCATTTGTGTTCACAGTATTTCAGGTTTATTAGACGTTTTTTAGGTATTTTTCTGCATATGTCTTCAGGTGGTTTCAGTTTTCGTTATCATGTACTGTACATAAGTTTTTCTTGAGCGGAAAACAGATTTAAGACATGGTGTCTTGAATATTTTTAACAATGTGTGTACTTGACGACAGTATTCTACAACACCTATGTCATTGTTGACACTGATATTGCTGCTAGATCTAGGATGAACAGACTTAGCAGATAAATTGTAATAGTCATCCACTGTCGGCTAACAATGATCAATTTTTCATTAACTGATGAAATTCATTGCGCTTTTGGTCACTTTGAAGTGTCCATATACTACAGCATTGAGAACAGTTGTCCTTGGACTGTCTCGGGCATTGGCATGTTTGCTCTCGAAATTTATCTGATTTTCATGTATCCAGTTTCTTTTTTGTGAACAAAGGCTGTATAATAAATGTTGTGAAATCTGAGTTTGATGATTTTGAAAATAATGTTTGTCACATTATATTGACGTAGTGTTTAGTGAAGCAACCGTGAAATTTCCATTCAGCTGTGCTAATTTTATTCTTTTGAGAATATCACACGAAGAGCATACTCAACCACTTATAACTGGATACATGAGTTTGTGTATTTTGACGAATTAAACATGTCAATAATTTGTGGAGGTTGTCCCATACACGTTACCTACATACATACATCAATTTGCTTGGGTGTTTATTTTCTAGTCATATAGACATTCGACAGTTTTGTGGTCATCATCAGTTGGATGATGTGACATAGACAAAGTTATCGGAAAGCAGACGTTAGTTGTTATGATGCTAGATCTTTTGTCACGAGGTCACTGCTTAACTACTGACCAGCGCCCACTTAACTGGTAAAGCAGAACACGCGAGAATCAGCGGTAAAACCAGGTTCATTTATTATGACAAAAGTGACTGTATTTATACAGAAAATAAGGTAGACTGGAAATCAAATAATCCGGTTGAGAGTTGGAATTGTGCAAGCGTCCAATCAGAAGCAGGAACAATTGCATGTCAACGATTGTTAATAACGCGATAATAACTTGACTCAGACATAATAATGACCTGATAATTGCATGTGTTTTGCCTCTTCCTAACACCTCCCCTTTTAAGATAGGGCTACCGGTAGCTTCTGTATCGCGGAATCACTTGTAGGTACTTTGGCGGTCTTGGTTGTCGTTGTGATCTCCTTGGCTGCTGGGACACTGCCTTTGTTTCGACTATTTTGGCCATGTGAATTTTCCGGATCCGTCGTATCTATCAATAGCTCAAATTGTACGTCGGCGGACTTGGAATCGTTCAACTGTTTACTAACTAGTCTATTTCTTATTTGATTGGCATGCCTGTCGCAAATAAGGTCTCCAACCTTGACCTTGTAAATGACTTTGCCTTTTCTTCCAACGATCACTCCAGAAACCCATGGGCGATCTCTTTGTATGTAATCAGGAACCAGTACCGACTGACCAACCATGAAGCTTCTTTGCTTGGTGCCATGATGTCTATTGAACCAAAATTCACTATTTCGACCACATTTGCTCTGTCTTGATGGGATCGGGATAATTTTATCCAAAGTAGTACGTAATCTTCTTCCAGACATAACTTCTGCGGGAGATATTTGATTTGGGCATGATGGGTTGGTTGTGGTTCGATAAATGAGGAGGAAATTGTGCAATACATCCTCTATCGATCCCTCCCCGTTTGACTTCTGAAGTGCGCGCTTGGGTGTATCAACAAAACGCTCTGCTTGTCCATTTGACTGAGGATGGTAAGGCGGGCTGCAAATATGCTGAACACCTAGTCACTCACGAAACTGTTTGGATTGTTCAGCTGTAAACTGAGGTCCGTTATCGGAAACGATGATCTCTGGAACACCAAATCTGCTGAAAAGCTGAACCAACTTATTTAATGTTATCGTCGCTGTGGTATTTTGCATAATGAAAACCTCCGGCCACTTGAAATACGCGTCGATTACCACGAGAAACTGTTTGCCATTGATTGGGCCGGCAAAATCTATGTGGATTCTTGACCACGGTTTTCCTGGGTTGGGCCACGGCTGTAGGTCTGTCTTGATAGGCATTTTCAAAGCCTGAGCACAGCGAGAAAATGAGCGAACCATCACTTCTAACTCACGATCGATATTTGGCCAGCGTGCCAACGATTTCATACTGCCAGTACCAGGATGCGTAAAATGTAGTTGACTCATGACTTTTTGTTGGAGACTTTGAGGCACGACCACACGTTCACCAAACATAATGCAGTCATTGACGAGGGATAACGAATGTCGTCGTTGGTAGAACTGTTTTAAATCTGGACAATCAATACGCGAGAGCCAGCCACAATACAGATACTGTTGACTGTAATGTCGGGTCACGCTGCGTCTCTCGTTGAACCATGTCGGCTGAGACAGGTAAAATGTTTATTGCCGTCATCAATACGTGGCACATGTTTTCATCGACAGAAACGCCGGCGATCACAGCATCCTCCTTTGCGGGCTTGTTATAGCTGAGTAAACGCGAGAGGACATCTGCATTCCCGAAATCTTTTGTAGATTTGTACTTGATCTGAAAGTCGTATCCTAGTAGCATAGTCGCCCATCGTTGGAGTCGATTTGCTGTGTAGACTGGAATACCTTTCTTGGAGCCAAAAATCGATAATAGTGGTTTGTGATCAGTAAACGTTGGATAAAATTAGATGCAAATATTGTAGATATGTGCTGAAAATTCCACACTGTACCACTAGTACTGTTTCTGGAATAAAGCAAATTATTATTAAAAGTGTGAACTTTTGGCCAAGCAGCATTTTGTGGAACTTTTGAATCCCAAACACGAGCGCTAATCCTTCCTTTTCGACCTGACTGTAATTCTGCTCTACCTTTGTCAAGGTTCGCGGTGCATATGCTATTGGCTTTTCAATACCGTCTTGAAACACATGTGGAATGACAGCGTCAATACCATAGTTGGACGCATCTGCAGCTAATGTTATATCCAGCTTTGGATTGTAGTGTGTTAACAGCAGGTCAGACTGGAGTAATTTCTTGACCTTGATAAAAGCTTGTCATTCTTCTGACCAGTTCCATTTAGCATTCTTCATGAGCAACTGATTCATTGGGGCCCTGAGACGATGTAAATCTGGCAGGAACGCACTATAGTAACTGATCATCCCCAGGAAGGACTGCAACGTACTGAGATTATTAGGGGCAGGCATCTGTTGAATTACTGACACACCGGAGGGGTCGGGTTTGCGACCATCTTTGTAAAAAATGAATCCCAGGTAATTCACTGAAGTCATGAAAAAATTGCTCTTATCCGGACGTAAATGGAAACCGGAATCACTGAGTATTGTCAGGATTTTATCCAACCGATTGAAGAGTTCGAATTGAGTTTCTCCTGTGACTATGATAACATCGAGGTAAACGGCCACTCCCGATACACCAGCTAATATTGCATCCGTTATCTGTTGGAATATAGCAGGAGCAGGTTTAACACCATATGGAAGTCGTTGGAACTGATACAGTCGTTTGTGAGTGTTGATTGTCAGAAGCTCTTTAGAATCATCTCCGACCTCGATCTATAGGTATACCTCAGCTAGATCAAGTTTACCGAAGTATTTACCGCCATTCAGTTTGACAAATAGATCTTGCGGTACTGGATACGGTTGATCTTCAAGGGCATTATTGAGTCCTGTTGAGAAATCAGCACAAAGTCTGATGGTACCGTTTGCTTTCTTGACAACCACTATGGGGGCTGCCCAGGATGAGTAATCGACTGGCTTGATTACGTTCAACTTTTCTAAACGATCCAGCTCTGCATCAAGGGACGGTACTGGGCGTTTTGGTCTAAAAACTGGTTTGGCATCAGGTTTGAGGTACAGTTTGGCTTTTTGTACGGTACAGAAACCCAAAGACTTGAAAAACGGCAGCGTGTTTGGTGCGAAGATGACTGATGAACTTTGCGGTCGAGTTCGGATGCATCAACATGTTGGTAGGACTATCTGAGCACTGTACATTGGAACAAACTGAGTTCAGTGGGACATCCCAGAGTTTCATCTTTTCGATCCAGTCAATACCAAGCAAGTTCAAATCATGACAATTGGTGATGTAGCATATTCCTTGGAACGAGGACGACCGGAAAGTTACGTCGCATTCAATCTGGCCAGATAATTTCATTACGTCACCCGACGCGTTTCTTGCAGTATGCTCCGTTCTCTGATAAGATGGACACCCGGGTGCCCGCCACGTCTGGGGAGATATGACTGTGATATCAGAAGCAGTATCTAACTGTAGTCGAACTGGCTTCTGGTTGATAGAAAGTGTGACAAACTTTCTTTTTGACTCGAAGTCAACTTTGAAGGTAGCGAACATACTGCTGATTTAAGGTTTCGTCGACTGAGATCGAAACATTCATGACTGTGCCATCGTATTGTGAGACAGGTGTGATCTAGGTTTCACTGGGGGACTAAATCCTTCCTTGTGACCATACTTGTTACAGATACTGCATTTATGTCTTTTATACGGGCAAAATTTACCAAAATGCCACGATTCACAAAACCAACAATTTGTGGGAGGCTTGTGTTTGACTTGCAGAGAATTGTTTGACTTGACAGCCTGAACAGAAGTATATTCATGAATTTGACCGTCCTAAATCAACTTCGTGTCATGCTTTAGATTGATGATTCGCTGGCACTCAGCAGTTACCTCCTGTAAAGTCATGTCCGGATTGCGTTCAATCTCTGCAAGGATTCGGGTACGAATATCACTGTCAACTGAAGATTTGAGACCGCAGACAAAGATCAGGCATTTAAACTGGTCATCCGTAAGTGATCGAATTTTCGATCGTTCGCATTAACGATTCACCCTACCAGCATAGGTAAGAATATCATCTCCTGGATCTTTGGATATCTTGAAACAATTGTAACGGATACTGAAGAGAGATAACTGTTCACCGAAAATATTGGTTAACGTTTGAACGGTTTCTTCAAAGTTGAGTTCTTTGGTAGAATATAATTGACATATTTGTTATGTTCGGCTGGACCAAGTTTCCAAAGGAGTAGTCTCACTTTGGCAGAATCATCTAGGTGAGCGCATTCAACCCGGGACAGATCTTCATAACGTCGAAACCAAGCTTCAAAAGTCACACCTGTTGAAGGTTCCAAATTGAACTCTACAAGTGAACTCCCAATAGTTTCGGTTTTCTCTGAGTTGGAACTGCCGAGATTTTGAATTGAAAACTGCTTTGTAAGTTTTTCAATCAAGCTGAGCTGGCAAGCTTCAAACTGTTGCTGTTGTTGATGAAGAAGAAGTTGCATTTATTCAAATGAAATTGTCATTTGGAAGACAGGCTGGATGTACACTGGATGATCTGGGTTTTATTTGACTGTATTGAACTGCAATGGATTCGAAACTCCGTCACCAATTGTTATGATGCTAGATCTTTTGTCACGAGGTCACTGCT